ACACAGGCACGGTCTAGTCTTGCTGGGCCTGGAGAATAACTGGTCTCCAAGCTTCAGACTTGAAATACTGAAAGAACAAAGATGAAGGAAGGAGGCGATCCGCGCGCATCTGCGTGACGGTCTGGGAGCTGCCTCGGACACCACCACCACCAGCAGCACCCCTGGGGTCTCGCGTCTTGAATCTGTCCTGCAGACCTGCCTCACCCATGGTTTCTTCTAACGCTTAGTTAGAGACCGGCCTCTTCACGGGTGGCTAACCTCCAAAGACACGCTGTTCTTTTTAAGCTTTGTCTTTAAATGTTGAAATGTGGGCATGAAGAAGCAGGCATAGCAGTAAGTGAAAAAGTCGAGGTCAGATGAGGCCGGGTGCGGGGACGGGCGCGGAGCGCGCGGGTCGCTCGTGGTCCTGGCAGAAGCGCATCCCTCTCTTGCCCTGCCCTGTCATGGCTCTTTACTCTCTAATGTCCCAAGGGCAGGGATGTATTCATCCTCTACAGATTAAACTGTTTTAGTTCCTCCCATTAGCACAGCACCTGGACCAGGATATGTGAAACCAAGGGGGGAGGGGGGGGAATGGGAGGGAAGGGGGGGGGGACACACCACAGGAAATCTACCCTAGGACCATTAAGGGTTGGTATTACTTGGACAGTTTATTTTATCTTCTTTATATAAATATATCTTCCAAAAGTTCCACCAATTAAAAAAGATCCTTAAAAAAAAAATAGACACTTCTTATCAAAACTCTGCTATTTAAATGAGTCACAAACATTTCCTCCTAACTTGGGATGCTAGGAAATAAGGAGTGAAGAACTCACCCCAGATCGGGTCTTCTGTAGGCCCCAGGTCCCCGGGAACACATATTCTGCGGAACGTTTAAATGCTCACAAGAAAAAAAAAAAAAAAAATTGAAGGGGGGGGTGGGGCCCCACAAACCCAGATTCCCGCTCCTTAAGGACCAAGCTTCTTGTTTACCCCAAACTTGCTCTTCAAATATTGAAATGTGCACAAAGAAACGTTCATAGCAGTGAGTGGAAAGAGAGACGAGGTCACATGACCTCCCTGTGCGGAGGGACAGGCCGGCAGGGGACACACATATACCACACGATGCAGGACAGGAGGGTAGGATGGCCAGAGGAAGCTGTCGGAGGACGGACCCCCTCCCTGGGTACCACACTCAATTCCAGTCTGATTCTACTGCCCTGAGACCTCGTCCTTCCTACTTGCTGAAGACACAGGTGGTGTCTTCCAACAGGAGACACTGCGTTTACCCAGGGAAGCAGTGAGCCGCTTCTGCTGCTGCTTCTTCCTCTTCCTCCTCCTCCTTCCATTTTCCTCTTTGTCCACATCCGAGGACTCCACAGGCTTTTTGCCCAGAGGGAAGAGGACTTAGGGCTAGCACGAGTACCCACCCCCCAGCATTCTCTCTTTCTCTACCTCTGGAAGAACCCAGTGGACCCGGCTGAGCCCTCGTCCACACCCCCTGCACATCTGGCCTCTTGACCTTGAACACAGACAGACCCAGCCCTAGGTGAAGCGTAGCAGGGTAGCACCAGGCGCTGAGCACTGGTTAGGGACCCGGCGGGTTCATTACTAAGGCCTCAGCTTCCTCCCCCAGAAGGCAGAAGTGGTAATGCAGAAGCCACTCTGCAGCATCTGCTGTGTGCTGGAGGGGGGGAGGGTGAGAAGGCATGAACACACCTAGTTGGCAGGACCTGGGCCAGCCAGGCACTGCTGGACTTGGGGTGACAGATGAGGAAGGGGGGGTCATTTGTGACCCCTGTCCCACAGGCAGCAAACATTAGAGCTGGATTCTGGCTTATGCACGAGTCCCTTCAGAATCTGGCAGTGTTCCTGTCCCAAGCCTGAAACACAGTAAGAGCTCAATAAATAGCTGGCGATCAGATGACCGCACGGTATACACATCAGTAAAGCACAAACGGGCTCCGGACAGAGCTCAACTTCCCCGACCCTCCCTCAGCCTGAACCCAGCAGGCTCATCATGGTTCCCGCTGCTCTTCCCCAATCGCAGGGGGTCACACACACACACACACACACACACACACACACACAGAGCATGGGGGGGGCCCTTCTTCCCACCTAGGAGGAAGCTGAGAATTCAGTATCTCACCTTCATGGGGCCGTCAGAGGATGGAAAAATATAGAACCATCCCCCAGCCCCACCCCCATCCCTAGCACGAGGAGATTATTCCATTTCATTAGCTACTTTGTGCGCTGCTAACACAAGGTTCTTGTTCTTTACTTTCTATTCCAGAACATTCCCCATAACTTATTGCCCAAGGGTAGTGCCACTAGCTCAAGTGAGAAAGGACAGGGAAGGTAGACCAAGGCCTCAGGGAGCTGGGCGGGGGGGGGGGGGGGGGGGGGGAGGGGAGGCAGTGGGGTGACTGTCGAGACAGCTGAATCAGCAATAGTCTCAAAAATAAAAAATCAAAAAGGCTTAATAATATGGAGAAAAGAATCCTAACGCTCATTGCTACATGGCTGGTGAGCGGAAAGAAGGGAAGACACGGATAATCTATCCAGAGCAAACAGCCTGCGGTCACATGGCCAGGTCCCACGATGGGGTCACAGATGGCTTGTTGGGGTCCTGAGACCAGAGCTCGGGACGCCCGGGGAACCGTTCCTCCAGGGCGCAACCCCACGTCGAATCTCGGACCAGCTGAACCCACTCTTGGCCTATGCTGGGCACGAGTCCTGGCTCGGGTGCCACAGTGTTTGCTGGCCTATTTGGCTCCGGACAATAACGGGAAAGGCACAGGTTTCCGAAAGCCGAGTGCTCGGTACACCAGCTGCATGTAAACAAAAGCACAAGGAAGCGCGTGACGGCCCTGCAGGGCTGTCCACCGGGCTCACGCCCATCATCCACAGTGGCTCAAATGAGAGCAGCGCCTGCGCGCGTGAATTCACGGCGTTGCTCGGGGAGGGAGGTGTCGGCCGGCTGGGGGAGGGAGGGAGGCCCCGGAGAGGCCTGAGGAGTCTTGAGTCTCAGTCCTCCGTGCTGATGCTGGTGACAGAGCCCTCCCACCCCTCCCCCGCTGCAGGCAGTGGCACCCCCAAGGTGCCCTTCTCCTGGGCGGGCCCCGAGAGGCAAAGTCTGGCCAGCAAACCCAAGCATCTCCCTGAAGAATGAGGACATCGTATACAAATGGGATTTCAGGTTCATTTCAAAAGGGGACACCACACCCCATGTCCCTGCTCTCCCCCACCCCAACACACACACACACACACACACACACACACACACACATACCCAGGGTGAATAACAACACAATGAGTGCAGGCATACAGAAGCCAAGACTGTGTGTAGAGAGAAGTGGAAGGGGATGAGGGCTCCCACAGAATCCCCAAAACTAACAGGCAGCCAGCCCTCTGCTCACCCTAAAACCCCCACCCCCCAGCCTTGCTCAAGCCTCGTGGTGAGCACAGCAGGAAAGGCTCAGTGGTAGAGGAGAGACTACAATGAAGCTGAGCACTGGTGGTGCATGCCTGTCATCCTAGCTACTCGGGAGGCTGAGATCTGAGGATCAAGGTTCAAAGCCAGCTTGGGGAAAGAACGTCTACTGATTTTTATCTCTAATTAACCAGCAAAATAGTGGAAGCAAAGCTGTGGCTCAAGTGGTATCATGATAGCCTTGGGCAAATAGAGCCAGGGACAGCACCCCAGGCCCTGAGTTCAAGCCCCAGATTGGCACAGAACAGGAAGAGTCAAGTAGATGATGCCCTGGTGCTGAAACCAGCTTTCCTTTCTGGCTTTTACCCACTTAGGGGTGGATCCAGCCTGGGCAAATCCAACTCAGACTAATGGTGGCTTCAGCCAGGCCAGACAGGGGCCAAGGGAAGGTGGTAGTTTCTGACATGACTGGGTCTATATTCTCTGCACCCACTTAAAACACAAGGGTCTCGAAACAGGCTCAGTTCTGCCCAACTGAAGCGCTTGCCCTAAGCCTTGTTGTAAAGCACGGCTCGCCCTAAGCCTTGTTGTAAATCACTCACACACACACACACACACACACACACACACACACACACACACACACACACACACACACACACACACACACACACACACACACACACACACACACACACACACACACACACACACACACACACACACCCCTAGGCCTGCCACAGGCTCCCTAGCCCTTGTCGCCTGCGTCCCCAAGGAAGAAAGCACCGCGCTGGCCTCTACCAGCAAACACAGCCAGCGCAAGAGAGAGAGAGGCCCGCTCCGCTCCGCTCCAGAAGCGTCTTTATTGTAGAGTCTGTGGGGCGGAATCCCCACGAAGGACCTGGAAGGGACGCTGCGGGGCGGGCTTGGACGGAAGGCAGAGAGGAGTCCGGTCCTCTCCTCTGGTCAGCTGAGGCCTAGGACGCCCGAGGACTCCAGAGCAGAGGGTACGCGGCACAGGACCTGACGCGGCCTCAGCCTCCAGGTGGTGGGTACCCCAGCCCCACCCCCAGCAGGGAGGTGGGGGGGGAGGGAGGCCGGGGTAGGGGGTGAGGGGAGACGGGCTGGGCAGGGAGCGGAGGATGAAGGGGTTGCTCCAAGTCTTGCTGTGCTTGAGTTTCGTCCTTGGCTGGACCCCGTGAGCACCCAGGCCCAGGCCTAGGGCCAGGCCGGCCCTTTCACGAAAGCCTGTGTCTTTCGGCAGTCCCAGGGTTTGAACCCACAGCCTCATACTCACACTTGCCAGGCAGCCATGGGCCACACCCCCCAGCCTGCCTAGGCTTATTATTGTTTTTAGATTAAAAAATCTTGTTTTCTCCTCCCCTCCCACTACCACCGCCGCCGCGGCCACCACCACCCGCGTAGCCGAGATTACAGGCATGAAGCACAGCACCTGCACACTCACTGAGATACAGGGTCTCACTGAGATACAGGGTCTCGTGAACGGTGCTTGGGCGGGCCTCAAATCACTATCCTCCTATAGCCTCCCTCCCCCGCCCCCACCCCCGCCCCCGCGATTACAGGTGCAACAGCTCCTCTCAGGAAAACAGGAGTTTTCATCCTAAGGCAATAAACAGGCAAACACACAACCCGTGAAGCAACATCAGAAAGAAAAGGATGGGAGGGCCAATCAAAGCCACCTCTCTTAGGACACGAGAGCCCCCCTCCCACTCCCACCCCGCAGGGCCGCAAAGGCACCACTTGCTTCTAGAAATTACCACAATCTGAAAGAGGCTCAACAGGAGGCCTCCACAAAACTTGCAGGCTCCTGGGGCAGGGAGGAGTGTGCACACACGCACGCAGGAACATGCACACACGTGTGCACGCACACGCATGCACGCAAACACGCACACGCGGACATGCACACAGCTTGTGCGCACGCACACACACACACAAACACACACGTTCTAGAGGTTTCCACTCTGGCCTGCACTAACATCTGACAGGATCCCTGACAGTGGCCCTTTTATCAGTCAGCCAAGCCACCGCTCATTAAATAACCCTGGTTATATGTATACAACTATATAACTATATATATGTAATTGTATTTCTAAGACGACACAGAACAGTGACAGGACTGAGAACACCAACACACCACATCAATATCAGCTAAGCCCAAAACTTAACTACCCAGTGCTTCCATTCCCTTGATGTGTCACATGCACACACGCACGCACACACACACACACACACACACGCACACACACATGTTCCCTGATAGCTGAAATTCTTTGTGTCTGCACAGCGGAAGGGGGTGAGGGGAACGCCGGAGCTTGCAATGTCACCAAGAGAAAGCCAGAACCCAAGCCAGGCAGACCAGGCGGGACGGGGAAGGCAGAGGCTCAGGAGGTGGCGGAGGGCAGCTGCCCCGGCTGGGTTTCGACGTGGGGTCCTCCATGTCACAGCCTTCACTGTTTCTACCCTTCACCCCACAGGAAGGAGGAAGAGGAGGAGGAGGAAGAGGAGGCGATTTCACCAGGGCATCTGAAGGGCGGCGGCGGTGGCGGTGACTGGCGAGCTGACCCGTGCACCGGCCGACGGTGGCATTCTGAGCCGCACGCAGCGGCACCAGCGGACACCACGCAGAGGACAGCGCCCAGATCCTACACAGCGGCTCGCCAAGCGCCCCGGGCAGGACGCCAACATCTTGGAAGACAGGTTTTACCTGAAAAAAACAATTGGAAAAAAAAAAAAAAAAGAGAAGTGGGGGAGAAGAAGAGTCAGTACACCAGCCAGCCGGGGACCAGCCACCTGAGCGCTCCCCAGCAGCCACACTGTCACGCCTACCTCCCGCGGTCCTGCCACAGAGGAAACATCTCCCCAGCCTCAGGGCCTCTGAATACGCTGTCTCGAAGACACACTGCACTTCCTCCCTTAACTCCCAACTCAGGCCCCTTCCCTTGTGCTGCACACAGGCCCCCTGGCGCACAACCTCTTCTCTCCCTGGACCCCCTCTTTCTTGGCTCCTCTACCGGTGTTGGGGACAGACAGCAACCCGTTCTAGTAAAAGTCCCAAGAGTCAGCATTGTAGACTTTGTAGGCCTTCCAGTCTCTCGACCCAGCTGTTGGAACAAAAAAGCAGCCATGGGTGGTACAAGATGCTTGGGCAGGCTGTGTCCCAATAAAACTTTATTTATGGGCACTGAAACTGGATGGCAGCTAACTTGCATGCTTCATGAACGGTCATGCCCCTACCTCTGATTCTTTTCCCATCCATCAAATGAGGAAACCACCCTGGGCTCCTGAGTTGTTGCTATAGATGGATCTGGCACTCCTAGGCAGCAATGGACCCTTTAACCAAGGGCCCTGGTGGGAGATCTTTGGGTCCCGGGGGGATTGGGGGACCCCAGTGGCTTTCCTCTCTTTTGTCCCCAGGATGGGGGGGGAGGGGCTTGTTCTTACGTGTGTTCCCACCACGATGTGCTGCCTGGCCACAGGCCCAAAGCAACAGGACCACTTAGTTGTGGCTGAAACTCCAAAACTGTGAGCCAAAATAAACCTTTTCTCCTTTCAAGTCGACCGCCTTGGTGTATTCTGTTATTATAACACACAGCTGACACCACGGTACAAAAACAGGCAGGGGGCTGCTGCGAACCCCGCAGCGGCAGCTTACTGACCCCTCCCACGGGAGAGGAGCTGCCAGTCCACAAACGGAACACAGCAGTGCATACCAAAACCTAACGCATGTCAGGCACCGGTGGCTCACGCCGGTCACCCTAGCTACTCAGGGGGCTGAGGTCTGAGGATGGCAGTTCAAAGCCTTCCTCCGTCCTTAAAGCAAACTTAGCATTATCATCAGAGCAGAGAAACAAGACACCTCTGGAGCAGCATCCCTCTGGAGGATGAGAGCAGATCCCTTCCTCGGCAACCTCCCCCCCACAGAATACACGGGCGCCAGGCCTAAGCCCCCCGCACCCCCCGGAGCCCAGGTCCTCCGGAGCCTGGGTCCCCACCTCGCACCTGTACTTGATGTCGAATACTGTGGAGTCTTCATCTTCGTCGTCGTCCTCGTTCAGAGGGGCCATCTCCACACGCTCGGCCGGGGTGGTGATGATGTCATACTTGCGGGTTTTCTTTAACCTCTTTCCAAATCTGGAAGAGAAAGGTGCACTTGACTCGGGCGGGTAGGGCAGGCGCTGGGCATGGAGCCAATCCAGCATTCGCTGGATGCTGGGGGCCCTTCCATTGGCCACCTGGAGCCTCCAAGCCAGCCCTACCTCTCCAGCGCCAGCAGGATTATGTCTGAGCCAGTCAATCAACAGTAGGGGACAGGTGGGAAAGGCATAACCAATCAGAGAGCCAATCACCTGTGGCTAGGAAGATCGGAACAGAAACAGATGCTCAGCCTGAGCCAATCAAAACACTGCAACCCATTAGTCAACCACTAACAGGGCAGAAGAGAGGAAGGCATGGCCAATCAGATCTAGCCATCTTTTGGTAGGAAATGTGGGATGGGGCCAATGGGTTCCCTGCCCACTGACCGTGAGATACCATCCTGCCATCTTTTAGACACAAAGAATAAAGTCAGCTGAAAGAGTGGGGAGAGAGGGGGAAAGACTGAGCCCCAACCCCACTGTGCGGCCAGCCCCTCCCTGAAAAGGGAAAAGCCACCTCCTCCACCAGAGTCAGTCTGGGCCAGGTTTTCTGTCACACGTGGACTAAAGAATCCGCCATAAGAACAAACTCCATCCAGGGATTTCTATAACATGTTCACAGTGACACACACACACACACACACACACACACACACACACACACACACACACACGGATGTGATTTTCCACTTCCTCTAACATTGTTAAGTCCCGCCAGCTACAACTCCTTGACAGTAGCCCGACACTTTGCCTCGGGTTACCTGTGGACAGGATTTCCAGAAGACAAACACCAGGACGAAGTCCTGAGAAACAGGAAAAGGCCACCCGACCAGAGAGCATCTGAGACCTTCCAGGGGTCCCTTCAGGGGCAGAAGGGCAGCCCCGGGGGGACAGAGCCCTCGCACTAGCTAGGACTACCTGAAGCTACCTGAGACCCCAGGTATGGGGTCAGACTTGGGGTCACAGCCCACGGTGCCACAGCCTGTGGAGCAGGGCAGCTAGAGCAGAGCAGCCTGCGGACGGCGTCTAACAAGAGAAAGACGTTCAAACTCCCCTCGCTCTGCCAGGCACAGGGACGTGCCCCTGTTCTCCCTGACATGTGGAAGGCAAAGACAGGAGGGTTGTGGTTTTGAGGCTAGCCCAGGGAAAAAGGCAGCAATAGGCCATCTCCCAAACATGGTGGTTCACATCGGTAATCTGGAGGTGGCGGCGGAAAGAGCATAGTCCACAAAAGGCCCAGACAAAAGTGCGAGAACCTACCAAAAGCAAGTGAGAACCTCTTAAAAACAAAGTAAAGCATAAAGAGCTGGGGACGTGGCCCAGGTGGCGGAATGCCTGCCTAGCAAATGTGAGACAAACTGAGTTCCATCCCGGGGCGGGGGAGGGAAGGAGGGAGGGGGGAGAGAGACAGAGACAGCACCCGTGGCTCTTGCCTATAACCCTAGCTACTCAGGGGGCTGAGATCTGTCAGCCCAGGCAGAAAAGTCCCCATGAGTCTTATCTCCAATGAACCACCATAAAACTGGAAGTGGCACTGTGGTTGGAGCGGCAGAGCACTAGCCTTGAGCAAAAGAGCTCAGGGACAGTGCCCAGGCCCCATGAGTTCAAGTCCCATCACCAACAAGGGAGAGAGAGGGGGGAGGGGGAAGGGAGGGGGAGGGGAGAGGGAGGGAAGGGAGGAGGGGGGGGAGGGGGGAGGGGGAGGGAGAGGGAGAGGGGGAGGAAGAGGGAGAGGGAGAGGGAGAGGGAGAGGGAGAGGGAGAGGGAGAAGGAGAGGGAGAGGGAGAGGGAGATCTTTTGGCTTTGAATGTAATTCCCAAGCCACAGTGTGTTTACCCAAAGAATCTTCTAACCACCGGTCAGAAAGGGGTCTCCAACCAGCAGGAGTGCTGTGTGAGCAAAACTGGGGCTGCAGGAGCCCAGGGCCGGCTGGCAGCTGGGACAGAGGCCTTCCTTTCCTGCCTCCCGCACAAAAATAGACAAAGCAAGCCTTGTTCCCTCCTGGGGCTGTCCTCAGATGCGGACCCTGGGAGACTGGGGTTGGGGTCCCAGCCCTGCCCTCCCTTGGGCCACACTTCCCAACACACCATTGGCTCTCCCTCCCCCCAATAATCTCATTCTCCCCCCAATCTGGGGCTGGAGCTCTGGGCAGATCCTCCACCCCTTCTCAGCCTTCCCCGACACACCCCACCCAGGCTGCCCTGACTCCTGAGGCCCCCAAACACAGGCCTCCCACGGCCGGCCTCCAACAACCATCTTCTCCCCTGGGGAAATGGCTAACAGTGGCCACCACGCCCGGCCTACCCACACCCCCCAGCGGTGCACGTGGGACCCCATCACAGCCACCAGCCCACAGGCACCAAGGCACTGCCACGATCCAGGGAGGACACCTGGGCCAGTGGTCACGGAGGGGCCTGCCCTGGGAAACGGGCCTCCAATCCAGGTGTGGCCCACTCCAAAACCCAAGCTCTTTGCCCAGGACAGGGAGCTCACCTGGGACTCTGCTAACCCCAGCTGGAAGAAGTTACCCAGGCTGCCAGCCAGCGCCTGCTGAGACCAAAAGCAAGCAAAGGAGGTTGTGTCCACAAAAGGAGGGCGAGAACAAAACCTCTCCAGCTCAAAGATCCAGAGCCACCTAAATGGACCTCCCAGTTGAATGCATGCAGGTTTCTGTGAGGAACGGAAGGAGACAATCGCCTGGGATGAGGGAGGGGGGAAATCGGCAATACCCTAGGAGCCATTTTGAGCAGAAGTAGGGGGATGGGTTCCCCAAATGGCAAAAAACACCAAGGCAGAGCCCCACCAACCTGCTGGGGCATTAACAATCAGACGCCTCCCCCCCCCCCCCCCCCCCGCCCAGGATAGAGAATCAGAAACAGACCCAAATTTACCCCAGAACTCAGTGTGCAATAAAGGTGGCATTTCAGCATGCAAGAAAGATTAAAAAGAAAAAAAAAAAGCCACCCACGAGATGCCCACTTCTGCCATTCCGTATCATGGTAATTAAGCTAAGCTGGGGCTGAAAATGAAATCATAAAAGTAGAGAAAATGTAAGAGAAATCCAAAATCCATTTAAAAAAAAAAAAAAACAAAATGATGACAAAAATCAAGAACATAAAAACAATTTTAAAGTCAAGACAAATGATAAACTTGGAGAAATATTTCCAAATTATAACTAACCTCCCTGATACACATGGAAAGTTGCTATATATCGGTAATAGAGATCCATAATCTAATTAAAAAGTTATTGAAGGATATAAAACAGGTAGTTCACACACTGTGGGTGAAGAAAATGAATGGCCCTGCATTATTTACTATTACAAAAAAAAGCCTTGGGCCAATGGCTCACACCTATAATCCTAGCTACTCAGGAGATCTCTATCACGGTTCTAAACCAGCCTGGGCAGGAAAGTCTGTGAGACTCTTCTCTCCAATTATCAGGAAACCAGAAGTGGTGCTGTGGCTTAAAGTGGTAGAGCACTAGCCTTGAGCAAAAGAACTCAGGGATAGTGCCCAGGCCCTGAGTTCAAGCCTCACAACCAACCAAACAGAAATAAAAACAAGTCTTATAAGGAATAAGGGAAATGAAAATCTAGCCCTCGTGGGAGATTCCATTCTGCATCTACCAATTTAACAAATCAAAACCTCTGGAAATACTGTTGGCCAGGATGTAGGAAACAGATTCTCATTAATGACTGACGGACATGAACATTGTTACAACATAGCAAATCTTCAACCAGCTTCAGCCAGCAAATCCCCTGTTCTCCTGGCTACTTGAGAAGATTGTCAGCCCAGGCAGCAAAGTTCATGAGACTCCGTCTCAACCTACAGCTAGGCTCAGCAGTCCACGCTTGTGATCCTAGCTGTGCAGGAGGCACAGATCAGGAGGATGCAGCTGAAGGGGTAACAAAAAAAGAAAATCTGACACTCAACAGAAAGAGCTGGGCGTGGTAGCCTACTCCTGTCATCCCAGCTGCCTCAGGAAAACTTGAGAGCAACAGCCCGTGGGCACAGACAGACTCAGAGACAAGCACAGAACCCCTGTGCCCGCCTTCCTGATCTCTCTTCCTGGGCAGTACAGCCCAGATTCCAGCCGATACTGAAGAAAGCAGCTGCTGCACCTCCCATCCTCTCCTGATTGGCAAAGTGACACCCTGGTAACCAGGTGGGCAGACCCTGGCAGGCTAGAGCTTTCCAGCACATGGCCCAGGGCTTTTCTTGGTAACTCCAGGGCTCTGTGCCCCACCTGCTCCTTTCCCACCCTCCACCCCCAAGGGAAGGTAAACTCTCCTTCCCCGAGTCAGCACAGCCTGGCTCCCGGCTGTCAGAGGCGCCCGGGGCCCCAAGTCCCTGCCTACAGCTGCCAGGTGTGTTTGCCAAGGGCTGGACCCACTTGGTCTGTGCCAGGGCAGGGAACCTTTCCCAGAGAAATCATGTGGCTGCTGAGAGGGCAGACGTGTCCATGCCTCACGGGCTGCCCATAGCCTTTCTGCCTATGTGCACGGTTTTGTACCGCCTTGTAATCGTGCCGTGAAGATCCAAACCATTCAATGACAAAGGCACAATGACCAACAGGAACCCTGGAAGCCGCGGGATCAGGATGCCTGGAGACACACACCTTTTGCTGGGCACTGGTGGCTCACATCTGTCATCCTACCTACTCAGGAGGCTGAGATCTGAGAATAGAGGTTGGAAGCCAGCCCACTCTGTGAGATTCTTACTTATAATATCAGAAGTGGAGCCCGTGGCTCAAGTGGCAGAGCTCTCCTCCTGAGCAACAGAAGCTCAGGCACTGCCCCGGTCCTGAGTTCAAACCCTAGAACCAATGTGCACACATGCATGTGTGTGAGCGTGCAAACAAACACACACAGAGTTGTTTTCTCCTCAGTGCTAGGCCGAGTGTTGGTGACACAGCTCACAAGGCCAAGGCTCAGCCTGCTAAATCCAAACACCTGAGCATACATCCTACTCTATGCATCCGCAGACCCACGACCCTTC